GAGAAAATGTGCTTGGTTACATTCCATCATTGGGTTGGGTTTTGTTAGTAGGTCACTGCTCAAACCAACACAGCTTTAGTTTAAATTCTTGCTGAGATTCCAAGGTGTCCAAAGATGTTGGTTGAATTTTTTGGGGGGGAAAAAGCAAAGAATCAGAACAAGTTCCTACAGATCACACACTTGTTATCGTTAGGTTAGCTACGCCTGCACCACCTTTAAGTAATAAACATATAAATACATTCAAACTAACGGTGCTGTGAAAAACGAAACACCAGGAGCTTCATCCTTCATCCTGGGTTTCACAAGTGCTGTGTGCAGACATACGTATTGCAACATGACTACATGGTGAATCTATATGCTTCATTATTGTCTCGCCCCCTCCTCTCATTCCTGAATGTTTGCCTCCACTCTCTCTCTCTCTCTCTCTCTCTCTCTCTCTGTGCTGGATCATCCTCTTTGTACTCTTTCACACAGTTCAGGGGACAAGACAACAATGTTAAATATCTCAAGGCCACGTTGGGGTACAAGAAGATAAAAATCCAGGTTCCCAGGCCCCGACCAACAATACCTAGTGCAGCACCCCTGCCTTGTCACTCCCATCTCTTCCAACCAGACGTACAGGAGCAACCGTCACTCGCCGCCAGTCTGACACCAAAGCAGTTCATCTGTAGATTGACCATCTCGCTCATCCACCATGTCGTTTGCGTTCATGACGATGCTCCTGGGCTCCACGCTGGCCGCGGCTTTTGTGTTGCATCCAGTCGAGGAAGAACCTGCAGCTTCTGCTGATTCTTCTGTTTCCCATCACAGGTCAGTAAAAAAACCTTTTTGTGCTACAAACAAGTCTTTGTGGGCAGATTGTCACCTTTTTATGCAATGTTTTCTCAGTTGTGACATTTATTTTAAAAACCATCTTTATTGACATTTTAAACTATAATAAATGCTTCTCATGTTAAATATTTAGATATCTGTGTTTATGCATGTGCGGGGAGGCCCCATGGGTTAAATGCTAGATCCAGAGTGTGATTGAGTTTCATGTTGCCTGGAAGGTTTTGTTAGAAGAATAGGCAGAGATAGAAATAGGACACACTGTTCCTTCCAAGCTTGAGCAGTTAATCACTCAACAAGACAAGACTTCTCTCACTAGATCCAGCCAAGTGCTTCCACAGTTCAGTGAGGTTATTGAGGGTGTGAATGACCAGCATGTGGGACACAAAGTACTTAATATGCTTTATTGTTTTGTTTTTTTTTTGGCCTTCAATGTCACCTATGATGTGAAATGTTTGGTTGTTCTGGGCAACTTCTGCAGAATCGTTTATGATTATTATATTTCAATGCAATGCTGTGTGTGACGTTCAGGTGCCAGGGAGAGTCACTGCAGTCCATCAGGAAGATGCTCCTCGCAGCCCTCAACATGCAGACTGAGCCACAGCTGCCTGTCGATGTGCTGGACAGCGTCAGAGAGCAGTGGAGGAGAACCTTCGCCGCCGTTTCACACAGAGCCACACACACCATCAGTAAGTGGAATCCAGAATATAAAGAAACAACTGTAGATCCCACATGTTTCCATTCTGAATGTAATCCTTAGTGACAGTCAACCAAAGACAAAAAAACAAAAACAAAAACAGGTTAACAGTGGCCTTTTCCATGTACTTCCAGTTCCAGCAGCCGATGGCTACTCTGTGTCACCTGACAGTACAAACAGTGCGAGCCTGAAGTGTTGCTCCACAGCCTCCGAGGTCTTCATGAAAGGTATGCAACAATGTGAGGGGGAGGAGGAGGAGAGGAATCTAACACATTCCTCTTTTTATTTCTATTTACATGCATCAGTAATCACTTCTGACCAGGTGCAATGATTACATACTGAGTCCCAGTTAGCAGGTGAAACGAATTCTGACTTTGTGATCTGACCAAGGAGTGGGACGTCCTGCCCGTTAACACCATCAACCAGCTGGTGGCCATATTATGCCACGATGTCTTAACACATTGGTTAAATGTTTACTGTGATATGTATTGTATGTATATTGTGATATTAGTAAAGTTTTAAGAAGACATACACTTTATTGATCAAGAATAAATCGCATTGTCACAATCATTTCATGAGAAGAGGCAATAAAATATTTTATTCCAACTTTATGGGCAACAGTGTAGTAATCTGTTCTTTGATTTGTCAGATCTGGGCTGGGACCGCTGGGTGATCCATCCTCAGAGCCTCACCATTGTTCAGTGTGCACTCTGCAACTCTGACATGAACACTGTGCAGTGTCCATCATCCCAGTCCAACGTCCAAGATGCCAACTCACAGGTAAAATACTCCAACAGTGGAAAGAGGTCTCCTGTGTATAATATAGATATTGTGCTTAATTTCTAAATTCAAAAACATCTAGGTTAGGAAGGAAATCTGCACAATTTTTTTTTTTGCACAACTGTAGAGAAGAAAAGCAATAAAACTTCACAAAATAGAAATACTCATGTATGTAAGTACCATGCTTTAGTCTGTGTGCTGAGTTACGTCCCACCGCTTTGCCTGAGTTTCACAACAAACAGCACAAAGTAAAGCTCCCCTTGGTGTGTTCTGGAGGTGAAACAGCTGCCAGTAGATAAGTCTGTTTTCTTCTGCTTCCCTGCCAACATAAATGTACTTTGCCAAACACAAGCCGAGGCATCGCACAAAGCTGGTCAACCAGAACGCTGAGCAGCAGCAGGAATGTAATTATGAACACGGAAAATGGTATAACTAAGAATGAATGTGTGTAGCGAAATATATCATTTTGAATTTTAGAATCTGGTCTATGGAGGAGCTCCCAGTTTATCTGAAGCATATGTTGATGTCATTAGTGAGTTAATAAGTTAGTGAGTTTATGCAATCTTGTAAAATAAATTACATGAAAACCTCCATCGTTCTAAATAAAGTTTTGAAAAGATTCGTTTTTGTTCTTGTTGGCCTTGGTTAATATAAAATTTGATTAACTTTTCTGTCTACTCCAGCATCAGCCAGTTGTTTGCATTTTCTTTTATCTTCCTTGTATATGTTTTCATCAGTTTGACTCTGAAATTCACTCGTCTCGGAGCTTTTCTTTGTCTGACTCCTGCGCTCTTCGTCTCTCTCCAGGACCAGGTGCCATGCTGTCAGCCCACCTCCCAGGAGATGGTGCCCGTCGTCTACATGGATGAATCCAGCACCACCTTCATTTCCTCCGTGCAGCTGACTCGCAGCTGCGGCTGTGAACTCGGCGGCGTCCAGCAACCAGCGTAGAGTTTGGTTTTTGCAGGCCTGAATATGTGAAATGAGCCGCATGCATCAAGAAGTGATCAATATATGCAGGCCTTTCTTCTCATACAACCACCTATGCTGCTTTTGTAGATCTATCCTAAATTCTTACTATCTTCAGCACTGATCGTGGGAACCAAAGTCTCCCCAAGAACTCAGTTTTGCATTCCTGCTACTCTGTTGTATCAATACAAATTTTGTTGAGCTTATTGTTTAGGTGGTAAAAACTGATATGACAGTAATCACACATTATTGCTCTCCAACTACTGGTAATCTAATTTCTCTGGGCACCGAGTGCTTGAAAGAACTAAGTGCAGCTGACAGCGGACTTTAAATAAATCTCATGCATGGGGAGCACTATTTATAGCTGCTACTTAGCGTTCTCCTCCAAAAAATGTGAGACTGACCAGAGCCAAATCCTCTCACAAGCCAGTTGTCTTTTCTCTTGACATTTGAAATAACTTTGTCCTCTTATGGAAAAGAATTTGATTTGTTCTCAGCAGTCAAACTACGGTCAATGAACTGAGGTTGTAAATTTTGTAAAGGCTTGCTGTTTGCGGGTGAAAAGGTTTATGTGGGAAGAGCAATGAGAGAAACGCCCAGAACCTAAAACCTTAGTATCATTTTCTCCTGGATATCGCTGCTGTGACTTTCCATGAACTTCCACTGGTCTCCACTGACTCTGCTCTTTTTTTTTTTTTTTCCTTCTCTGTATGAGTACAAAACATTTATCTTGATTTACAAACTATAATCTGAGTGATTTTATGTGCGTTTATCACAGAAGAGTTCTTGTGTTTTCTTGTATGTCTCAGAATCGGTGACAGTTCTCATTTGTGAATTTTTAATTCCCTCAACACGTTTTTGTTTATTATTTCACTTATTTCCCAAAGTTACCTCAACATATACTTTTTTCAAGTATTTCTCACAAATGTATTACATTTTGATCAAATGCAAAATGTTTTATTGTGCTCATGACACTACTGCTTAATCATTTGTAGCAATTTACTGATTTCTTTCTCTCAATTATTTGAATAAAGATGATTGAAAAAGACTTTTAACTATTCCACAAGCTTATTTAAAATAACATTGAAGGTTTCTTATGCCAGCCTTTCGTGGGTTCCTGCCTACCAGATGGTTTCATGGTAAGTCTAGAGGGAGGGAAATAGCAGATGAAGAAATTTTGGCACTGTAATCTAAAAAAATAACAGCTGCCGGTGAAAGGAAATAGCAGCATGTTGCGCACTTTGGAGCAGCCTTCAACATTTGTAGTCGCTGTGCAAGCATTTGTGGTCTGGATAAATCTTCTTCTGGCTGCAGTGGAGTCTTTACTTGTGATTTATAAAGATCTGGGCCTGTAACTGGACTTTGCCAGCAGTTTTATTTTTCGGTACCACTGGACAGAATGTCACCATATATCAGGTTATGGGTGTCTTTTGGCATACTGTGCCCACTTGTACTAGCCGTAGGGGCAGTTGAGTGTTCGGAGAAGGAAACGCTGCTGAAGCCGCAGCCCAACCCCAGCAGGGTGACACAACCATCGGACTGTTTAATGGAGTGCACCGGGATGACGTACATCAGAAAACTGCTACTTCAGGACAATCACAATATACGACTTAAAGACTCTACAGAAGGTAAGGAGCCACAAAGTGACGCTTTTAACTCTAGGAGGGTTTTCTGCAAAATTCAATCTCGAGCTGAGTTCTAAAAATAACACCTGGGCTAAATGCTGAGGCATCATGAGGACAGTTCAGTTCAGTCCATCACTCTCTGACTGCCTAAGACCTGTTTTATTAAATGCATCTGCTGTGTGTAGGCCTTCATGAACTAGTTTCTCTTGGCAGGAGAACACGGGGAATACTGCTGGTCCACTGAGCTCAAGTGCAACATTGGAGAGAGCTTCCTGCAAGCCTTCGCGGTGCTGCCTGTGGAGGTATCTACGGTTGGACATGAGCAGCTGGAAGTCAAAGCCACCGTCCCCACCGCCAGCACACTGCACGTACACGACAGCCCGACCACAATCGCAGAGAGCTGCGGCCTCCGTTACGACGTCACGCAGCACTTCGGCACGCAGAACGCAGGGAGGTCGCTCTGCATACAGGTTGTCACCCAAGAGGACGTCCTGGGGGACAAGCTGCTCAAATGTCCTCCCTATCTGGTCACATTCTGGCAGAGAAATCCAAACCAGTCCAACCAGCAAGGTGACGGATAAAGTGTCAGCAGTGGATATAAGAAAAAGCACCAATACATCCTGTATTGAAATATTACACAAGTAAAACTATATAAATGCAATCAGGGAAATATACTGAAAGGTATTTAAAGCTAAAGTACTAAATGCAGAATAATGGCACAGCTGGTTCTTATACAGATATAAGATGTTTAGATTAGTATTACTCATGTTGTAATGTGGCATTTTATTGTTGCAGTTAGGTGAGGTGGAGCTTCACAATTTTATTTTAAGGTCCAACTAATGATGATTATCATTGTGGATTTTGTTTTATTTTTAATTAACAGGTTTTTATTAATAGAGATAAATATCCTAAGGTCAGTGTAAATCTCCACGATACTTTTGTCCAGTAGTTTAAAGCTAGAGTGAATCATGTTTGGGCATTCTCACTTGAAAATTGACCAAAAAAAACTTTTTAAATATAATCCCAAGAAGTTTAATTTACAAAAAGCATCATGTTTAATAAGTTTTCCATATAGTATGTATTTAAAAAAGGCTTGATTTGTAAATTAATTGATTTAGTATTAATGGAGTGGAGTAAAATACACAACTTTTGTGTTTCCTGTAGTGGAACAGAAGTTTTAAAAAAAATTCTAAAGTGGAAATATTCATGCACATGAACTGTCATTTTGGACTTAAGTACAGCATTTGAATAAATGCAGTGTAAGCAATGTGGCTGATTTAACATGCCTTATTTAATACATACTTATGGATGGTCCTGCTGGTATTATTACCATCATGTAACCCTCAAGGTCAGAAAAGAAAGAGTTCTGTCATTTATGTGCATTCATTTAACTCATTTGGATTTTATCTTTACCTCTCTTGACTCTCATATTACCTGAGTGAGCAGACAATGACAAAGGACATTTTATTCACTTTGTACAATCATCTGTTACGCTTGAAACATCTACGCACATTTTCATGCTTTAGCCAAACTAAATACTAGAAGGCACTTTCCTCACGTATGATACCAACTGTAATCATAAACATACCAAGTTAGGTACTGATGGGGATCTTTTGAACAGTATGTATACTTCTTCTTGTCAGCATCTTTTGTTATTGAGATGTTATTTTGTTTTATATGAGGTACAGCTTGTTGTAGTTATGAGTGTCTTTGATGACATTTGAGCAGAAAGCGGACACTTTGCATTTGCTCTGCAGGATTTACTGACAGGCAGCAAGTATGACGGAAAAGTTCTCAGTGAAATGACGAATGTTCTGATGTTAATGTTGTGATGTTGATGGTTATACGTGTTTATGGTAATATTAAAACATTTTATTTTCCTTTAATAGCCCTGTGTTTATTGTGCTTGAAGGCTAATTGACTAATTTAAAAAAGAAATTGACACTAGTCAGGTAAACTTACATAATAAATGACACTGTAGGGTCTTAACCTTTATATTTAAACTTGTTAGGAAATTTGCAAATTGGGCGAAACCACTGAGTTTGGACGAATCTCTTTCAATACCACTAACATTGCACTACACTGTTTGGAGAGTGAGCATCCTGCATGTATGCATCCTGCATACAATCACACATGTATGCATACTTACATGTGTAGTTTTTTCAAACATGTGTAGCATCTCAACAGTAATATCAAATTTAAGTTTTCCTCATTTTATCCCCTGTCACTGACTGTCTGTTCTATTCATGCCGTTACTACATAAGAAACAATACAGTGCCACCTACTGTCTAAACTGTAGAGAACTATGTTTAAGTGTTTTTACCATCCAACCACCGGATGGCAGGCTTGTGACAACCTAGTGTTGTTTAATATAAGATAGGACAATATAAACTAAAATGCCAAAGTACAATAAACAAAGGTTAGAGAAATATATACGATGACAGAAAGCTAGAATAGAATAGAATAGAATATACTTTATTTATCCCAGACCTGGGAAATGTACACGCCACAGAGCATCCAAAAATATAGAAAGTACAAGAAAACAACAATAATTAAGTAATATGCATCCCGGTGTCTGCACACAACAGGTCCAAGTCCACATGCTGGCAGAATGTGGGGAGAGGGTGGAGAGCGATGTATGATTAAAGTCTCCTGAGATGACGATCAGAGACTTAGGGTGTGATGTATGCAGCTGGATCTATGGACGAGCTTGCAGGCTGCAGCAGCATCAGCCGAGGGGGGGATGTAAACTGTAATCGCCAGGACATGCGAAAACTCCCTCGGCAGGTAAAATAAATATAAGAAAGTGAAATGAAAGCAAATCTGCAATGCAAAACCTCAGATGGAAAGTTGTGTTCGTCAGTAAGTCACAAATGCAAATCAAAATGTTGTGTGTCTTTGATCAATAACTGCCATCAGTGGAAGCTCAGACTGAACACTATCCCTGCAGTACACTGCTATGTGTTGATAAAATAAACCTTTTGAAACTATATTTATTACAGTTTTAAAATATAGTNATCCTGCATGTATGCATCCTGCATACAATCACACATGTATGCATACTTACATGTGTAGTTTTTTCAAACATGTGTAGCATCTCAACAGTAATATCAAATTTAAGTTTTCCTCATTTTATCCCCTGTCACTGACTGTCTGTTCTATTCATGCCGTTACTACATAAGAAACAATACAGTGCCACCTACTGTCTAAACTATAGAGGACTATGTTTAAGTGTTTCTAACATCCAACCACCAGATGGCAGGCTTGTGACAAACTAGTATTGTTTAAGCTAAGATAAGACTATATAAAATAAAATGCCAAAGTACAATAAACAAAGGTTAGAGAAATATACATGATTACAGAAAGGTAAGTAATTAAGTAGAAATCAAATAAGAATGCAAAGTGTATAAGTGTGTAAAGTGGATGCTAAGAAATAGTGCCTAACGAATAAATAGCATGTGTACAAGAGAATAGAATAGAATAGAATAGGAGAGTGGTAGAGAGCGATGTATGATTGAAGTCTCCTGAGATGACGATCAGAGACTGAGGGTGTGATGTTTGCAGCTGGAACTATGGACGAGCTTACAGGCTGCAGCAGCATCAGCCGAGGGGGGGATGTAAACTGTAATCGGCAGGTAAAATAAATATACAGAAAGTGAAATGAAAGCAAATCTGCAATGCAAAACCTCAGATGGAAAGTTGTGTTCGTCAGTAAGTCACAAATGCAAATCAAAATGTTGTGTGTCTTTGATCAATAACTGCCATCAGTGGAAGCTCAGACTGAACACTATCACTGCACTACACTGCCATGTGTTGATAAAATAAACCGTCTGAATCTAAATTTATTACAGTTTTAAAATATAGTGAAGTTTAAACAGCTGTAATCTGGGATATATTTTTACATCTTTTAGCAGACACAAGCATTTTTAGTCTTAATGGCAGCCTCGAGTAAGTATAAAGTAAAAACAAGTCCACATTTCAGATCAAAAATAAACTATTTAAAATGATTTTCCAGCTCCTGTTCATGATGGCGTTCTAAAAATCCCTTCCCACTGTATGTTCAAGTGAACTGCACAGTTTATCTGAACATAAAACGAGGCTTACATCATTTGCATGAGTCAAATCAAAGTCAAATCGATGTTACCGTCTTTTAGTGTAACATTTCTTCTCTGTGTTTCCCTGCTGAGCTGCAGCGGAAGGACAACAGCAAAGATTTAAAATGTTAACTTTGAAAGATATTCACCTCATTTGACTGATCTGATCTGCTGAAACCTCGTCTTTACTGATAAACAGGCAGTGGTTTTAATTCCTAATCACATGCAGTTTACTGAAAGAGCGTTTTAATGATCAGTGTTCAACGAGTGGAATGATTACAGCAGGAAAAACCTGCTTCAGTGCCCATATAGACACCTCACCACTGTCCTGGATCCTATCATTTAACCTACAGTAGTCTTTCCAAATTTTTTTTTTATTTTTTTTTTTTACAAATGCTTGGATTTAAAAGAACATTTTAGAAATATTGCCATTGTCTTTTGGTGTTATAATCACATAGGAACCCGCTTAGCTTGACTCTGGTGCTGTACCATCTTTACGTTGGCACATGTCTACAACATCAAAGCCCTACATGAAGGAAGATGTTGTTGCTGTGCTCTGTTGGCAGCTGACCAGCAGCAACACAACACAAGCACACGGGGTTGGTGTCCGATAACAGAGCTTTAGCTGGCTGTGCTCAGGCCTGTATTAAAATACGCACCTGTCTGTGTCCACTCTCTCAGAACAGCGACACATGCTGCTTGGTTCTTCATCTCTGATTCACTTTACCTGCATATATCAAAAAGCTCTGAAACCTACAGTTCACATTTTGTGATTCTGGGCGGGAGAGTAAATCTCTTCCTGTTCTGTAAGTCCTGTTTTCTAAGAGTTTGCGAAGAGACGAGCATGAAAAGGTGCCACATAAGGTTTAAAACATGGATATTATTTTGTGTTGGTATTCGATTTTTATAGGTGCTTTCTGCTTCTTCCACACATGCAACCCTGCTGTCATCTGTTCTACATGATGTTTCCTGATTCATGTTTGATTCACCTGTGAACTCTTTCCCTGCTACGTGCATATTTGTTAGTGGTGCATCGTAGTTATTATTGAATGTAGACAGTGTGTTTAATAAAGCATCCTATCTCTACTTTACAGATAGACAGGAGACAAATTACCATAAAAATGTTTAATCTTTGGGCCCATTCAACCCCTTAGAGGCAATTGTGAATGCAAATGAATGTAAAGTTCATCTGAGTGATCACCTTTAACCTGTGATTGAACACCTCTGTCCTGAAAGGGCCGGTAATTGACTCCAGACTGTACAGAGCTCAGCTGGCAGCCTTTTAGCCAGAACCAAGAGCTGTTAACACATCACTCCTGTTTCAGCCTCTTTACACTCTCAGTGCATTGTGGAATAGATTAGAAGATTTTACTGATTAACTTTAAGGCCTCTCTTCTAGCAGTATCTCTGACCTTTGAGCTCCTCTGGTAGGGGTCTTCTGTCTGTTCATGGTCCTGACTGAAAACCAAAGGGGACTGAATGCAGTCGGGGACCATGAAGCTCTGGAAAGATCTGCAGGATGAAATCTGGTCGGCAGAGTCAGTGATCTCCTCTGACTTTCTTCTTAAAACATCCTCGTGATTTTACTTTTATCTTTTTATTTTGTCTTTTATTTCTTTCAGTCACATTTTTGGATTTTCCAACACTGACATTGTTTTGTTTTTATCTGTCTTTTAATATCTGATGGTTTTATGACTTTGCTGTTTTCTTTTTACTGCTTTGTGTTTCTGTTTTATCAGTGCTTTGTAAATACAGACTAATCACTATGATTATACTACGGCCTTTGGAGTCACCTGATTGAACACCTAGATTTTTTGCATTGACAGTACACTGCCTTTTCATCATTAAAACACTAAATATGAGTGATGCATTATTAAAATTTCTGGCCGATACTGATATTAAGACTTCTGATATTGCCAATAACCGATATTACTGATGTCGCTATTAAATTTATGCTCACACCGAAAAATTAGTATAAGTGCCAAATTAGACCACATTGACTTCTTTACTACGTAACAGAAGTACAACATATTTTAACATATTTTATTTTTAAGTCCAGGACCATTTAAATAAAAACATCTGTGAAATAGCAGCAATATCAAATGTAGAGACAAAGGTGATAATGTTAGATAATCATCTTTTTTTTTATTACATCGGCTCAATTTGTTTATCGGGCCGATACCGATGTATCAGAAAAACCACTAATATCGGCCGTTACCATTGTGGTTACCAATATATCGTGCATCCCTACTAAAAATATTTGATTCTTCAGAAAAAAAATGGTGTTGCATTCCTCCAGTAGAGTTCCAGAGATTTGTTTGAGCAACATCAAGGCACACTGAAGCCCCCCTTTTTTTTTAATCCTGTGAAGACACTTTATGTTGGTTTTGCCTTCAATTTGTCACCTGTCTGTACATTAAAGCTTAGTTTTTCTGCAGAAGACAGGATGAGCAGGGAGTGGGATACAATGATTTAAATATTAAACTAATGATTGCTAAGGAAAAGGTAGTAAATTGTTTATTTAGTTTAAAAAATAAAAAAAGATTTGTACTTTTACACCTTTTCACTCAAACCCTCCTTATTTTGGGCCTCCAGAGCCACATTAAGTTGAGAACTTCATAACATCATGTGGTGAAACATATAAACACAGGTGGCTGTACCATGTCTGTCTCACAGGGGTACCAGTGCAAACTTTGCGCAAACTGTAGTGAAGAACAAAAAACTGTAAATTATGTAGCTCATGATGGACTCGTTCGTTGTATTTAGCTTGCGTTTACACTCAAAACAGTAACACGACTGCTTTAGAAATCTTTTTTGACGAATTAGAGTGTATAAAGCCGAGCTTGGTCCCCGGACGGCTGAGCGGAGTAGAACAATCCAGTAGGCAGACGGAGTGGACAACCTAAACACGCACGGTTAGCAGACAACTATCAAACAACGGCGGCCTGACAGTCCTCCAAACTAACAAGCCTCCTCCACCGGTAAACAATGTGACCGAGCGAGGAGGGACACCTCGGCGAGGACTGCGAGAAACGCATGACAGCCAACTTTGGTTGTCGTGAGGGGCGCACCATGGCATCTCAGCCGAGGTAGGCAGACACAAGCCGCGGCTAGCTGCTAGCAGCGGGGCGCTAGCTGCTCAGCCCGACCGTTGAACCGAGGTGATTAGCTGGACACGGAGCTCGGTGGCAGCGTTGCAGACACGGAGTTAAAAAACAAAAAAAAGTTTTACCTCCAAACTATGTGGAAGTATTATTAGAAGGCGTGTTTGTGTTTGTAATTGTTCAGTGGTTGATGTCAAACTGACTGAAGGGGTTTTTAGCTCGATAAGCAGTTCGAGGAAGAGGTGGAATCAGCTGGAAGCGGCAGGCTGGTGTGATTTCTACCAGCTGGTCACTGGCGGCGGTGCTCCTATCACATATCTTTATTTTATATATAAACTGTGGCTCACATGTTCCGTTTTTTAGCAAATGTGTCCTCTACTAACACACACATTACCAAACATTAGGCGTCATGTTTGTCAAACTTGTGTTTAGTTGGAGAGAAGCGGAGCTGCTGTCTGTGTTACTTTGATTTAACTATGTTTCTTTCAAATCGCCCCAAAGCTGAAATATGGCGACGGAGGAAAAAACACTCAGTAACATCAGAATATTACTGTCACAATCCCAGCAGAAGAGCTTAAACTAAATAGTATTCACACTGACAGTTTTCTGTTTACGAATATTTTACAATAGGCTCGACTTCCTTGCAGGCTGTAAGGTTAAAGGGCGGTTACTTGTTTTATTTAGACTGTAAAGATGCAGATGACTGATAGTATTAAAGATCCTGTTCTGCAGCCCAGCTAAAAAAAAAGTGTCTTGTACTGGAATAAAAGTAGACTGTTGATAAAGAGGGGGTTGGGTTTGTTGCTCATGCATTTCATTACATATAACAGTATGAGCAGAATAATTTGCAGATTCATATTCATTCTGTCTTTTCATTTCTTTGCACATGCATACAGTCTCGTGTCACCTTCATTGTCAGACTATGACCAATACATGATTTTTCCCTATGGAGAAATTGTGCAATGGCAAACGTGTATTCCAAAGGGGAACCCCAGAAATGTGTCAGTAAGGAGCAGGATGCTGCCTTTATAATGACTTTGCTCCTTGGTATTGGATTTCTCCTTGAGCTCAGTAGTAGAACTACACCCATTAATCCATTAGTTGTCAGCGATTATATTCACAATCAACTAATAAGTTCATCAGGTTGAGCAAATTTGTAAGAAAACAGTGTCTTAATTATCTGATTCCAGGTTCTTAAATGTAAACAGCTTTCTTGTATCTTTCCTCCTCTATGAAAGTGAATATACTCCTCTAGTAAAGTGAATATCTTTGGGTTGTGGAAGAAACATGACATTTGAAGATGTCATAATTTTCTGACATTTTACAGACCAAACAAATAATCAACAGATCATTTGGTAATGGGAATGATTGTTTGTTGCAGCTCTTCTTAAAGTCTAAAGGGAATCTACCATAAATATACAACTGACACACAGAATAAAATGTCCCATGAGTATTTTGTATGCCAATTAAAAAGTCTCTTACGTTGGAAAAAAAGAAAAACTTCAATATTGATAATGAGTCAGTTGGGATTGTTGTTCATGGATTTCATTTCATATTTTTATATAATCAAAATAAACTGCAGATTCACAGTCTTTTTTTCTTTTTAAAGTCTTTTCTCAATACAAATTCTGTCTCCTATCACTGTCACTGCCAGAATATGGCCACTACATGGTTTTTCCCTGCAGAGAGTTTGTACATGAAGAATACAAGTTGTAGTCAAACAGAAATTTGATACTGGGAATCAAGTAGAATCCTTAGAATTCTGTTTGCCCCTACTGCCACCTCAAGTTTTCAGATATATGTTGCAACTAGTGATACACAATATTAAAATTTCTGACTGATACCGATATCCGAAGATTTCTGATATGGCCAATAACCGATGTTATTGATGTCGACATTCAATTTTTATTCAAAAAATGAATATAAGTAAGCACTGTGAGAACGTGAAAACCAATCAAAAGAAGCCAATACCAAGTTAGACCACATAGTCTTCTTTATTACGTAACAAAAGTAAAACATATTTAACGTTCAAGTCCAGGACCATTGAAGTAAAAACATCTGGGAAATAGCAGCAATATCAAACGAACCGATACGATATATCAGCCGATACCAATGTGGTCGCTGATATATCGTGCATCCTTAATTGCAATTGTTTTTACGCTCAGTAACCAATATAAAATATTTTTTTAATTAAGGGATATTTTCATTCTCAATTAATCTGTTGACTATTGTCTTGAATAATTGTTTATGTATAAAATACCTCAAATGTTTGGGAAACTCACACAAATGTGTAGTTGTGAGAAGAAGAACCAGCTCACATAATTCGTTTCAGTGGATTTAAACAGGAGACGTCCCAGTCAACATGGTCACAGTACTTTTGATGCTGATGTAAAGTGTCCATTCAGCATCAGACCATCATTCAGCTGCATTATAATTTTACTGTTGCATTTGCCAGTTTCACATAAAGGCTGAGTAATGCTAATTAATCCTATTTAGTTTTTTTTTTCAATTCACATTCTAATCAATAAATCAGTATAAAATACCAAAAGTGCAAAAAAGAGTGAAAGAGATGTTCTTAGAGTCCTTGGTTTGTCTAACCAGCAGTCTAACACAGTATAAAAACAGAAGGGTCTCCAGTACCCACATTTAACACTGATTTTTGCCTGACGAACAAGTTAAATTATCTGATTAATTGCTTCAGCGCTGCTTCATTTAATTGTTGGCTCTTAGCATGTCCCTGCTGTTGTGGAAGCAGCAATATTCGCTTGAAACAACAAAACAACACAGCTCGTCATAGCACTGAATTTGTGAAGATTTAAAAAAAAGTAAAGCATCCTGATAAATCCTAGACTGCGTAGCTTATTTTCTCACTTGCTTGCAGGTTTTTTTCTGTCTCTCGTGGCCCCTCAGGTGTCATGTCATTAGAGGAGATGCTGAACTAGGATTATTCCTTCACCTGCTCTCTGTAATACTTTAATATTTATTCGATCATCTTAAACAGCATAGTCCTTTTAAAAATAATTTGTTTGTCAAGGATGTTCTGGCTGTCAGTTTTGTTACACTTTGAAAGTTGCAAAACCCTGGCTTGTGAATTTAGCTTGAACTCACGTAGCCTGAATGAGGCCCACTGACACAAAAGGAGCTCCTAAGTTATTTTGAAACCAAGTAGTGCTTTCGGTTTTCCTTTGTTCAAATGATAAGTTATTTAGCAGTTGTTTGTAGTGTATGCATGGTGGAGCTGCAAACCAATATTTCTTTTTCATTGTTGTTTAATCTCTTGATTAATTTCTTGATTAATTAATCAATTATTTGGTCTCTAAAATGTCATAAAATTTTGAAAAAAGCATAAAATAATGTTTTTCCATGTCTTGTTTTGTCCATAAACCAAAGATTTACAGTTTACTGTCATAGAGGAGGAAAGAAACCTGAAAACATAAAACTTTAAGAAGCTGAATTTAGAGAAATTAGACTCCTTATCTTTTGATAATGAATTATCAAAGTTGGTGATTGATTTATAGATGACTGATGAGTTAATCATTGCAGCTCCGATGCAATAAACTTAACCATTCAACAAAATTGAAAGTATAATTTTGCTTACTACTACTCGCAAGAACTTCATCTTGACTTTACTGCTTGGTCTATAGATGTTGTTCTGCATCAACTGTTATGGCCTCTTGAAATGAGGGAATGTTTTAAAACAAGGCAAGTGTTTGAGAGGATAACACAATGAACTAGAGTTGTGTTTTGTCAAGTGGAGTCAAGGTTTGACATCCCTGAAGCAGCCACTAACAAAGAACGCTGGCCCGGCATAAGCAATATAGAAGACTCTATGATAAGAAATGCTGTAATCTGGGGATTGTTTAAATGTGAAATGGTTATTTTAACATTGCAGTGAATTAAAGGTGATTTCGTGTAACCATTGAATTAAAGCTGCACAGTTAAAGATGAGAGAAGGGGTGAAAATGTCAAGAGAGCAAGAAAGGTTAGTGTCCCTAAAACCGCTCATGTCTGGACATATCATATGAGGCCACTGTCCGCAGGATGTACGTAGAATTAACTCATTGCTGAAACAGTTGATGGTTCCTCTTTTTACCAGCATGTATCCTGTGGCTGCCAAACTGCTCTTTGCTGTTACCAAACACATGACTCAGATCCTAAAGGTATCATGTATATGGGCTAAAGAGGAAACGCTTATTAGAAATGTGTATCTGCTAAGGATAAAAACTGTGTGGTAGCAGTAAACGTGTGGAGGAGGAGAGTTGAATACAGTTTAAAAAGGCATGACAAAGAGACTTCAGACGGAGTTTGTGGAGATTGCTTGTCTAGACTGCTTGCGATGGAGATTGCAGAGTTCTTCACGGGGCATCGTTGGAACTGAACACTCCGCCACCGATTGAAGAAGTCCCAGTGGGTCTGCAAATTCTACTCAAGAGGAGCAGCAGAACCCCTTTCTGTGTTCTGCATGAAGAAGTATTCTTTTCCTTCCCCAAATGGATGCAAAAGAACTGCAGATCTGATCAGAGTCAGGACTTCTCATCTCCCCTTGAGACAGGAGGGTTTTGTCCGGGGATCAGGACTCTGTACTGGGTTGCTGTATCACTGGAAGAGGACTCCTCCAGGCTCAGGTCTGAGCAGGGCTGAGTTAACCAGTCAAGGCCAGGCTGTTTGGCTCTTCCTCTCCCCAAATTACTTATTAGGTTACTATTTCAGAGAAGCTCAGGACTATAATTTTATCCTGAATCAATTGGTTTAATCATATTTTGGAGCATTTTGAATGATTAATCAAGAGCTGTATTTAAAGTTTATTTGGTTTGAAATTTCATTAAGTAACTGATGGTAGTGAAAAGTTAGTCAGTTGTGTACATAAGATCTTTATAATGGTTCTTAATGGTTATTCTAAGTCATGACTAAAATAGTATTTTTAAACATATCCCTGGGGTTAGTTGTGCCAAACCTCTAAATTTTAACTTAGCAACTTACCAAGTGCTTGATCCATTTAAGAGGAAGGCTGCCACTAACAGGCGTGTCTAGTAGAGTGATTTGACTACTGAGGCTATGTAGTTGAGTCAACTATTAGAAGAAGCGGGGTAGACGTCTGGATTAAGGCAGGTAGACTCTAGGCGAGTTTCCTCAACACTAGCTTTAGCAGTTCTACAGAATCCTATTAGGTCAGGGGCCTGTAGGCAGGTAGAACCAAACCTAGAAACGGAGAGCTGGACCAGTAGCCCTGTCACAGTGGTTATACCGGCGCGGGTCAGTAGTTTTAATGAAGGTTCCTGTCTTCTTTTTTTTTTTCTTCTTAACATATAAATCATCTGTGTTTTTAAATGAGTAACCTTGATGTTTCACTGGATGTATCCCAGGAATGACAAGGTCTGACAGGATCTTCAGTCAAAAATGTTGGGTGACTCTGCCTCCTGAGGCTGTTTCAGTATCTGTACTGCTTTCTTGTGGGTTTTTATGTGATTGAAGCAGGTTGTCTATTCACTCTCTTGTTCAGTCACTCAGTTTCTGATGTTTAGTCCTCTGTGAATGGCACATTGTTATCGTCAGAGTGCTGTCTTTCACCTAGAATAGTAGAAGACTGTACACAGAGGGTGGTTTTTTTTAAAGACAGAAATTTGCGTCTCAAGCTGTCAACAGAGCCAGCCGCACTCATCACAAGAGGTGATATGGCTCCAAGGCAATTAAATCTGGAGTATGCAAATATGACATTACTATTTTTATTTAAAGTCTTCTCACATCCTGACAGCAATTCTTATATTAGGTACTCTGATAATTAAAAAGACAAAGATATATGTTGTCCATGGCAGTCACAGGCCTGAATATATCCTGTCCAGTCATTGTATTGGTCCACATGACTGGATGGCCTACTTGTCTAACTAGTACCTTCCCACCTGCACACACTGTGCCCATGCCTTCATTGCACATCACTGGACACATTACTAGAGCTAATGAGCACATAGCACAAGAATGACAAAGTGTAGCCACATTTTACAGTTCCACCGAAACCTACAACTACTTGTACTGTCGCATCCGTTTGTGTATTTTTGCAGCCTTTAATGACTTCGTCTCCTCCAGTTTCATTAGGGTATGTTTACATGTATCTGTTTGCTGCCTGGTTGTGAATAAGTGTTGTTTGATGGTATTTATCCCATGTTAGTCCCTACTGGCGTTGAAGTGGATGTTTTTCAAATGTGGTAATGTCACCTATTGATGTGTTTATAGAGTCGAGGCAGTTTAATGCATCGGTCTCCTCTCCACACCAACCATCTCTCTCATAGAGTAGTTTTCCAGCTGGTGGTCTCAGGCAGTGTGCTTCCATGTGTTTTGAAGGAGTAGCTTTGGAGGGAGCCCTGGAGGGAGGCCGTGTTTTTTTTTTTCAGTTGCATGCTTTCAAAATCTAGCTTGCACTTGTGGTTTCAAACTTCACCTTTAATGTTGAGCACTCCTATTAAATACAGAGTTCATGAAGATTTAACTAATGATTTAATAATTACACATTGGTCCATTATTGTGAATTCTGGACAGGTTACATTCTAATCTCATCAGTTATTCAGCCCCTTATTGTTCTCTGGTGTCTTTTCCATAGTAATTATTTTCGTGAGGTGATTGTACTGGCTGCATTATCATTATGTACAATCATCAGCGAAATTCTTCGGAACACTATGGTGTGCTTTTTGATACACACCCACCATGTTATTTGCCTCTGGGTATAAGTTTTGCAGGGCCTGTGACTGGGCAGTGCCAGCTTGTGTTATCCGAGGAGTTTGGCCAGTCTCTCTCCTACATTAATGAGTGAGTGCTCATCTGTTTGGCTTAGTCCCAAATATTTGCTGCTCCACTTGTTGCCATGGAAGCGTCCCACTGGGGCTGCTGTCAGTGAGGGGATGATCAACACTGTATTTTGGGAAGTAAACTATGAAATCTGAAAAGATGCATAAAAAGGTGTTAAGTTCTTTTATATATATATATATATAAAGTGTTAAGCTGGACCCGATCCAATGAGAACTCCTGTTGTTCTACAATATAATTTATTACAGTAAACAAGCTTTTTGCAATGGCAGAACGTTAGGAGTAGTAGTTGTTATTATCTGTTTGATGACTGAATGGACTGCATGTCACCTTTGGGGACTAGAAAGAACAGATGTGAATGTTGTAGTGAATCCTCATGGTGGCTCTGAGTCTAATTACACTCGTCTGTAGATATGATAGATGCCATCTTCTCCCATTAGACACTGCTGCTCTGCCCCTTGGGTGGATAAGTAAGACGCCCTAAATTTGCAGTCTCTACATTTTCTGGTGTCTTTAGTCAAAGCTGGTGTCATTATAAGAATCAGTCACATTCATGACATTCATAGTTGTGGGGTTGTACAACATCAGAAAATCTACAAAATGCAGGTTATATTGTAGTCTCACTCACATTTTACTGAAGTTTGATGGTCAGATTTCTGTTTTAATACCTAGGCAAATATTTGTAGCTTTGGCTTATAACTAGGTATTTGGTGCGCTGGACGTGGTGTACTTTTAAACACAGTGTTCATTTAACAGCTGTCTTTCTTTGTAATGTTTTACAGTGTATACAATGAAGAAAGGAACCGTCTTCGCCTCAGAGCATGGGAACAGAGGAACCAAGAAACCAGCCAAACCAAAGAACTTAATCCAGAGAATGTGCCACTTTTTGGGGAACCATACAAGGTAAGAACATGCATAGCAGAGTGAGGTTTTCAAGGATAGCACTGTCTTTTTGTTACACTCCTAGTAGACTGGTTTAGACAGCTCTGGTCCGTTTATGTGTAAACAGCAGTGTCGCCTCAGGCAAGGCTTTTACTCTAGTTATTATTAATAGCAAGGTGCTTGTCTTTGATGATTTGCTCAAAAAAGGTTGTTAAGATTGAATACCATAATAGTGTTGTATTTTAAGTAAAGTGTGTGTGGAATGCGTCTTTATCTCATAACATGACATTAAAAAAATCTAATTGTAGCATGCAATAGACGCATGCTGACACATTACATTTAGATTACATGTTCTGTGACCTGCCCAAAACGCCTTTTCCTGCAGTTTTTTCCATTTGAATTTGGTGGATAAGAAAAAAATGATTAAATTAATTATTGCATTTTCAGCGATGGTAATAAATTAAAGCAGACAGTATGAACGTATTTGCAAATTGGGCACAAATTATTGTTTTAAAAATCTTTTCAATGACACCTTGATGCTTGAATGTCCTTATTCTTGCTTGAAATGTAATAAGCAGTGTGGTGCAGCATATTCATTTAGCTCAGTATTATTATGTTTGAAAAAATTTTGTAAAATGAGATATTGGAAATGTGTTAACATAAAAGGCCTTCCTTCCTTTTGTAGACAAATAAAGGGGACGAGCTTTCAAATCGAATCCAGAGGATGCTGGGCAGTTACGAAGATGTGAATAACTCCTGTCCCTTTTCCACCGAGGCTTTACCCATTCCTACTTACGCAACCTTCTCACAGTCAGATCTGGGTCAGCCAAACACAGATAAATCAACAAAACCTCCATTCCACAACCAGGTCCTTTACATGTCCACCCAAAGCCAGAAAGGGCTGTCTAGTAGCAGTTACTCTCCTCAGCCCATCAGGACGTCCACTGCTTCTCCTAACCACCAGGGACATTCATCCACTTTCTCGAAGCCTTCTTTGAACAACAGCCAGCTCGGCCACGCAGCAAATCAACAAAAGAAGAGTGAAGTCTTCTCAGATCTCAGGGAGTGTGACAGCCTTCCTCGGGAAATGTCTGCTCTGTCTCCTGATGCTCAGCCACTACCCTTCCTACATTCCAGTGACCATCATAACACTGACACAGACACGAAGGACACACTTGATAGACATCAGCTCCCAGGGTCCACAGATCTTTCCTCTGACTCTGCTGTCGGCATGGATGTTTACTCTAAAGACGCATGTCTGCCTCAAGCCAACAAGACTAGCGCACTACCCTCCCAGACCTTTCCCCCACGCTTGTCATCTAAGCAGCCCAGCATAGTCATGCCCCAGAAGCCAACAGCGTATGTGCGGCCCATGGATGGTCAGGACCAGGTGGTTAGTGAGTCACCCGAGTTAAAGCCCTCACCAGAGCCCTATGTCCCACTACCAGAGTTAATCAACGAAGCTGACCTGGCCAAAACGAAGATAATGCCACAATTTTTGGAGGTAAGTTTATTGTCTTTGAACATATAACTGTTTTTATGACTGTTCTTTAACCCTCTAAACCCCAAGACCTACCAGCAGGTTGAAAAGGCATGTTTTATTTTTTTAATTGCCCAAATTACACCATTTATCAGATTCAGATGCTGTAAAATGGAAAGAATCATTGGATTCTCAACTTTCTGACAGTCCTCAAGCTAATCATGTGCCAAAATCTAAACTTAAAATTGTGACGTTTAATCAAAATCCCTTTATTCTACATGTCTCATTTAAAAATTCTGCAAAAGTAAACTGTTTGCACCAACTAGATTGTATAAAAATGCACTCCTTGGTGCAAATGAGAAACCATCAGTTACCCAGCTGCAACCAGCTGCCATGTGACAAAAATTCAGGGACTTCTCACCTGAACCGGGATGAACTGCAGACTGAGCTTATAAAAAGCAGATGCGAGACAAATACGGAAAATAAATTACAAATTTGAGTAGTAAAATATCTGTAGTATATAGAGTCACCTGTGGGCACTTACACAATGTTGTACAATTTGACTCCTAGTTTTTGTTTTTTTGTTTTTTCATTTTGTAAAATGAATAAACAAACAAATTAAACTTCACTTTTTCCTTTGAGATGAATTGTTACAATGTATCTGTGTCATACCACACATAAGAAATTTAAAGTTCTCTCTACTGCTGTGTGCGGTTTCCATACAGGTGCAATACTTTATATTGCAGTTAAAAAAAAAAAAAAAAAAAAAGAAATTTAAAGTTCTCTCTACTGCTGTGTGCGGTTTCCATACAGGTGCAATACTTTATATTGCAGTTAAAAAAAAAAAAAAAAAGTCCACAGTAAGTAAAATGTGATGGGAGCAAAACACACCCAGAAGCTACATGAAGTCCAGAGGGTTAAATCAAACTATCAATTGTAAGATGAAAATGAAGCACTAATCAGATACACAAATGTAACAATTGTATTAAATTAAAGCCTAAATAAAAATTTTAAAAGAACTAGTTGGCATTGTGGGAATTACGCCTCATTTATTTTCTAGCCAAATTTAAATGGATCAAAAGTGCTTTGCAATTTTGACTCTGTTCACACACACTCAAACACGAGGGGCAGCAAGCTACCATGTAAGGTGCTGCCATAACCATCAAGGCATTGTTGGTGTCTCAGAATCAAAGCACCTGCCTGTTATTAGAGGCTGACCCACTTTCTCCTGAGCTGCAGCTGCCCAAGTTAAAGAGAGGTTTAGTACCGCTCTCGTTCATGCCTGTTAGATATGAGGCTAATGCCACGAGACACTTGGCTCAGCATAGATACTCAAAACGGTGGCAAACAGCCTTCTTAAGAAGATAAAATACCACGTTTCCCTCCAAACCTCAACTTGTTACTTTTAACCTTTTTTTTTTTTTTTTTGTTGCGTTCAGGACTAGCTAGCCAAGCCAACTGTTTTCCTCTGTAGGCTGCTGGATGTAACTTCATATTTAGCACAAAGCCAGTGGGGAAGAAAATAAATAAATGTAATTCACAAGATATCAAACCGTCTGTTTAATAGAAATGATATCAAACTTAAAAGTGTGTCACAGGATTAGCTGTAGCCACTCTTTGGGTTTCATTCTGTCAAACACTCATTAACCTCTGGGAAATGTGTTCCTTAAACACTTCCTAAAACGACTACGAATACAAAATAAACTACAAAATTACAAAAATGACCACATGGTGTACTTATGAGCAAGGTTTTGCTGCAGGACTGGGTTGTTAGTAATTTGTATTTTTAAAAAAGAATGTTAGTTTCAAGTTTTGAAAGAAGTAGTGAAATATTTAAACATTGCTAGGTTTACAGGTTGAAAAAAGCACATAATTTATACTTTTGCATAGCATATACATAATGTATACAGTAATTAGCGAGATGTTGTATATAATCGTCCATGACTTGCTAACAATATATTAGGTGACACTGACTCTCTTGTGTGGTGCTTCTGAGTCTGTGGATCAGGCAATAGGACAAGGGAAGTCCTCTGTATTCTTTCTCAACACTGTTGTCTTAGCCTTGAATATACTGTACTGTGGGCTCAGAGGATTGGATTTCTGCTGCTCTCATGATGTTCTCTGAAACGTCTTTAAAGTTATGATGTTTCTGCTTGACTGTTCAGGTGTTCAAAAAGGTTCTTGTACTCTCTTTGTTTTGGAGAATTTGGCTGAACTCCAGTTCAACTCTATTCATCTGTTCTGTGTCACACATAAACATACAACCAACCCTTGCACCTGCAGCACTCCACTCCCTCCCTCTTACCATCCTGCAGCAGCACAGCAATGCTGAATAGCTGCTGTTTTTACTGCTGGGTTTAATCCAGTGCAGGATAGCTTGGCAGTGACTCACTCTCCTATTTCTTACCAACCCCACACTCCTGAGTTAAGTGCCTCATCTGCAAAAGGCCATACTGAAGTCAGTTGTTTTTAAATTTAGATTGAAAATGTCCCTTTAGCTTCTAAATCACTGAGAGAGAGTTATTGCGAAACTCATTTTGGGATGTATTGCATAAGTGGGAGGAGTAACATGGTTACAATAAAATATAATTCTCAACAATGAGCAATATGAGCCAGAGGACAGGCAAATATTCAGGTATCTAGATTATTGTTGCAAAACACATTTAATAAAACAAATCAGCTAAACAGAAAATTGCTTTATAGAAAACATATCAGCATCTCAGATGTTAGCTGATGCATTTACTGTGTGTGTGTTGTTATCAACCATGTCTTTTTGAACATGTCCTCTCATGTCTTACACAGGTGCGCTTTATGGTGTATGTGGCAAGCAGTCTGTGGTTTGTGTTTTTGTGTGTGTGTGTGACCTCGACTGCCTCTGATAAATTCACCCCTGGGCTCAGCAGAACAATAAATGAGCTTTGTCACCAACTTACATAACTGCTCTGGGGGCCCATTCAGTCTGACCTTATCTCAAACACTGTCCATTCAGAAGGAAAAACTGAAAGAGACGCCTGAAAACAAACAGAAATGTAGCCTGTTGACTCATTCATACGCAGTATTTATCTAATGTAGAGGCTGTCCTCCTCTGTTGGTACCTGATAGGAGGTATTGCATCACTCATGTAGTTTTTGACGTTTTAGTTAGTAGTGGTGTGGTATGCTGACTGTTTCAAATGTTTTTTCTCTTTCACTTTCTTTCATTTTTTTCCCTCACTTTTATCTGAAGTGCCAGCCATTTCAGGTAATCTTGTTTTCTCAACGGAGCGAACAAGGTTTTATCCAGTGAGATTCTTCTGTCTTTTTAGCACTTGCAGGCTTGTAACACAAAGATGATAGTGGGTGTGTAATAATGTATTTATAGTCATTCATAAAGCTGCAGTCACTTCTATGTAAACAGTACATGTTTGTAGTTCACATAGACAGATTTTAAGATAAGTGACGGCTCTTGTATTACAACTCTGAATGGCCTGTACTAGGAGTAGATAAGCCTGGTTGTGAATACGGTATAGATGCATTGCACAACATGGAGTGCACAATGTGAAAGGAAGATTTAATGATCTTTAAAATCTGTTTTCAAGTTTGGTCTTTGTCTTCTAATTGCATACGATGTGCTATCAGAGGCTAATAATAAGAATAATTACTGTTTTCCTCTTTACAGACAAAGACAGATGAAGCTCAGTGTGTGGAGGACATCTTAAGGGTAAGTCCAGTTGCTTCCTTTGTCATTAACAGTTTAGATACAAAGTATGTGCATAAATGATTCATACTAAATTATCCTTATTATAAATATCCATTCTTATCTAGAACAACAGCAGACTGGAGTTGACCATAGTAGCCTCTGCTAAAAAGATGAACTTTACATTATAGCATGTACTGATATAAATATCAATTATTTTTAAAGTATTGTAAGCAATGTTAAAGGCAGATATTTAAGTTTCATCAATACAAAATATATATTTTGTATTTGTCTTTAGAATTTAGTAGTTTAACACTGATTTTCATAACAAGCAAACCTAATGCAAAATCTGTCAAGCATGACTGAAAGGACAGCACGTGTAGTTTTCCTTGATGACATTTAGGAGTTCATGCAGGTCCAATAACTGCCCTCACCTGTTAGTCTAACCAGCTCACCTGGATGCTCTTCTTGCATCTGTTATGTACAATATTTAAAAATGGTGGCCCTGCTCACTAGCAGCTACTGCATTTATATGATTACAAGTCTGACAGAACAACAAATGAAATGAAGTCCAGCAATCAGGGACAGATTTGCCTGTTCTCACTAACCTGTGATATCTGCTGTTACTAGAGTGAGAGAGCATTTTGCTATCATAATGTGCACTCTGCTTAGCACAGATTGTACCTAATGTGACAAGATGTGACTGTTCATGTTGCTTTTTCATTCAGATGTAAAAGTTTCCAGTTGCTCCACAATCCCACTAACTTGAGCAACAGCTGATGAAGTTTTATTTAGCTTTCTTTTAAATGTCTTCTGAACTCTCGATGTTGGGATTTTCTTTATCAGTGTTCCTCCCTCCTTGATGCTGATGTAGAAGAGTTGTGGAGTTTTATATAAAAATGTTTCTGAACACCGTGTAGCTATACACGCTTTCTGTCAGACACGTGCACCCTGTCCTTATCCTAAGGGACTGGACAATGACTGCAGATCTCTGCAGGTCATTGAAGCAATCCAAAATCTAAATTTGAGTTCAGCCGCCAGTGAACATACCTGCTCTGTGACATTGTGACATTTACGCCCACAAGGATGAAGTGATTAGATTCTGGTGGTCAAAGGTTGAGGTCATGGTAGCCTCACAAAACACATTTTTGGTCATAACTCGACAATTCATTCACTAACTGAGACAAAATTACATACAAATATCTAAGGAATTTTATGTCCAAAAATCAAATATCAACTTGAGTGTGACATTATAAAGTTCTATAAACACTTTTTGGTCATTATTCAGCGCAATAACTCAAGACAGAATGGGGGTTGGGGGGTTTGACCATATTTCACATTTGATCAGGTGCCATATTGATGGCACTAGTTTTGGGAGGACACCATGAACTGTCCTGATTACATAGATGTTTATCTAAATCTTTTGTGCTGCTTGGTTGAAGAAGTGTTTGACGCCACGTTTTAGGATTTGTAGCTACAACAGAAATGGCTACAACTTTGTGTTCTATCAGAACCAACTTTCCTGGTGAAGAATGTAAACATTCATGGAACAAGACTCTGTTTTGTGTTTTCACTACATGTATGAATCTGGATTGACTTGAATTGTAATTGCAACTTGACTGGTTGGTGGAGGCAAACATCATCAAACAGGTTATTCTAGTTTCATAAAGAGTGGAGCGTGTGTTGTAGCGGGACTCTGTCGTCTCATTAACTCATTGAACTTTTTGTTTCTCTTCACAGGAAATGACTCACTCATGGCCTCCTCTCCTGCCAGCGATACCCACACCTAGTAGAGATGAACCCTCCAAGTCTCCGTTCCCAGCCAAGGTGAGGGATTAAAGGTTGAGAGTGACTAAAATCTGTCTTGCTTCTATGCTTAATGGCTTAATGCTCACATGTGTATTAGAGGAAGGGTCCGAGTTTCCCTATTGTTTTCTCTTTGTGAGAGAGGACAAAGAGCAAACTCAGAATTCTTGTGCACACACCGCATCATGTTTTTGAATTTAAAATGTAACTAATTCCATGCTTTAAAAAAATAAAAATCCAAGTTAGTTATTGATAGGGTTCTTGGAACATGTGGATTCTCATGTGCACTCGTTTTACTTCAGTGATCCTCTACTTTACTATCAGAACAAATCCAAAAACAAGAACAATCCAAGAAAGATCATGCAGCTATTTCTAACAAGACCTCATTTGTATTAAAGTCATAATGTTAATCATATATTTGATGTCTTATAAGAAGTGGTGAATTGAATTAACACTAAGTCCTGGTAAAGGTTAACACATGCAGGTTTGTTATAAAAAAACAATTATTGATTTAGTGTCAATGTCTTCTCAAACACAGGAATGACAGAGATTAAACCTTTCTTGTTTCTCCTTTTTCTCCGTCTTCACAGGAAGCAGAGCGTGCCTCTTCACGTCCAGGACAAAGTGAGTAATGATTGGAAGATGAATAGCATTCACTCATAAAACACGCAACAATAGTTATCGTTGTTAGCGTGTCTGGAAAAATTAAAACTGAAGGGAAACCAGGATTAGAGTCTGTTATGTCTGTCGTTTATGCTGGGAGCAGGTACATTGATCATCAGTTTTCATACAACGTGTCCTCAAAACCCTTTTGCTAAAAATCAGAGGTTTGATCATTGTAGGTTAGAGCTGCTATGATCTAAATGTCACTTTCTCCGATACTTTTATCATCCACTGAGTTACAGCAATACGTCTCTGATGGTCTGTCCCCTGTTATGTTCCTTTTTCTTCCAAGCAATGTTTCTATGGCAACTTGTTCAACCACTGTGCCCTATTCTGTGAACTGGCCACAAAATACCAGAGGGGAAAAACAACCCTACAATTTCATCTCACATTAATCTCAGCTAAGAGAAAGAGGCATCTAAAAGAGCAGAGTAGTGAGCGCTCACCGTTCCCTTTTCTCCGATGTAAAACCTTGTCGCCCCTTATTCCTTAAGTTCCAGTGACTCCTTCTTTCATTGCGCACTTATTAGCTTGTTTTCACTGTGCTCATTTCTACTTGTCAGTTGTAGTGTCTTGTACCTTTTTTTTTTTAGACCACTAAGTGCTTCATGTGCATTGAACCCATGTTCTTCGGGCCCTCTTAGGCAAAGCAAGGAAAGTGAATGTAATAAAAATCTTAATTTAGCTGGGCATACTGGTTAACCCATTAACACTCACAAGTCCAAATATGGGCAGGGTGACAATTCCTCCACTGTATTTTGAGTGGGATCGGCCCATTTGATAGGCAGTGATAATAGTTGTAGCAGTAGCAATAGCTCTTTATTTTGTAATGGCAGTGCATACACAACAAAGTAATAGTATCCTGCTTTTCCTGTTGTCTGTAGGGGTTCTTGCTGCACACTGTTTTCACTCTTATAGTCTAACAGACAAAATGCTTCCAGACTAGCAGTTTTTAGTAACAATGTTTTGGATGTTAAGGGTTGAAATGCCACTAACTTTAAAGTGCTTGTAGCATTTTTAAAAAAACAGGGGTCAGCATTGTTGTTATGAGTCACCCAGCTGCTGAAATACCTGCCAGAAACAGGGATGCAATCTTTTACTAACATAAACTCTAAACACTTGCTTAGTGTTCATAAAAATAGTTCTGTGCAAAAGCTCATGTTTTATGGATTTCTGGGATGATAAAATTCCCTGTTATGAGACTTGAGTTTTAAAAGTCATATTCAGGTCAGCCCATTTTGGAGCCAGTGCAATATTAAACTTGCATAAAGCAAATTCATTTCATACTAAGTGATAGTCTGCCTGGCTAGTCTCTGCAATCTCTCAAATGTTTATCTAAGTTTTGTGGCTGCAATGGCAAACTTAGACTTAACAAAATAACAGTGGTGTCTAGCGTGTGTTTTATTATAAAATTTACGTCTGAAAATTCAAACAAAACAGGTCATTGTGTCACTCAGTGATGCTCAAACATTACAAACCTATTGTACTGTACAAAAGAAACCCCACTGTGTTTTTTCTTACGCGAATAATGTAGAAATTCAGTGACAAGAAATGTTTAATTGTTGCACCATATTATGTAGCTGTACCTGTAGTTATAAATTTGGTGTTATGTTGAAACAGAAAACTGTTTATTGTAACAGTTTCATCTTTCCAGTGTTAAAAAAGTTTTGATCTGTGAAATTGACAGGCGACCAGTCAGATAATTACTTTAACAAAACTGAGATGCAGTGTGTAAATGCCCAGTCCACTTTTTTTTTTTTTTTACATTTATTTTCATGGATTTTGATTATTTTTGTTGGCTCAATGTTTGTTAAATGTTTGGTTTTTTTTCCCCCCAGAAAATCATGACTCCTCCCTTGCAGATCCATCCCATCTCAACCAGCAGAGCTCCTCATCGTAAGTCACTTGGTTTTTCAAAAGAACAATTTTTGTGCCATAATTACAAAATGAGACCATTGAAAGTTCATGAACCACCATCACCAGAGATTCACCATCATCACCATTAAATCTGTATTTAAGCCAGATCAAAATTCTGTCCGTGACTTGACAGATTTATACACAATGTTTTCAACCAGCCACTCAGAATCTGCTGGATGTAGGCTGATGTGACTCAAACCTGGTTTCACCCACAATTCACCGTAAAGAAGCATTTTATACACTCGACACTTGGAGGACACTCTAGACAAAACACAGTGTCATACATGTTTTCATTACAGCTGCAAATAATGATTGTTTAGTTTCATTATCAAGGCAAGAAAAAATGATGCTATAAATTCCCATGAACCAAAGTGGTGTATTCAAATAGCTTATTTAATAGGTGAAACCCCAAATATGTTCATAGCACTATTAAAAATGATAAAAGAAGCAAACAGCAAATGCCTGCTTAAAAAACGAACAACTAATTGATGATCAGAATTGTAACTGATTAATATTGTGTCAAGCAAGTAATCAATTAGTTCACGGTTCACTGTGGCTCTAAATACATAACGCACAGTTCTGGAATTATTCAGTTGTGAATTGAAAAACCAGTGTTCCACATTTCTTCCTTTGGGTTCTTCTTAATGTTTGCCAAAAACCCTATCTACCAGAAATACCTGGGTATGTAGGTCACAAAGGGTATTATAATGAATATTTTTGCATGTTTGTGTGTCTGTGCTACAGTTCATTTGAAGCAGCACATTCCAGCGGGTTAGAGTCTACAAGCTCCAGCGATTCCGGCAGCAGCTCCGGATCAGAGTCCGATAATGAGAGCACCACTGAGGAGCCACCTCCACCCCCAGTGAGCAGCTCAGTTAAAACTGAGGTAATGTGTTCTTTGTGTATACAGGAATGCACAAATACAGAATAAAAGACACGCATAATCTTCTTCATTTTCTAAAATCACAACATTTGTGTCTTTTTCTAGCCTGATGCTCCAGCAGTGAGCCGTGGTGACTGGCAGTTGGGGAACTGGATCAGGTCCAGCCAACAAAACTCCGGCACTGAAAGTCAAAGTGGTGCACACGTCTCTGAGAGCCCCACTCACAAAACCCGACCGCCCACTCAAAGCTCCAAGAAGTCCAGCGTAGAGGTGGTCGACCCCACCGGGCACTCTAAGCCTCAGCTTTCCTCTCATCAAAAAGAGCTCACTGACAACCTTCCCATTCCCCAGCAGCACAGGAAAGGCACTCAGGACAACAGTTGCCATCAAAGTAGCCAGAAATCCCTCTCTGCTGATGTGAACAGCTGTAGCAGTTCCAGGAAACTCTCAAAACCGGCGAAGGCAGCTTGCCCAGATCGCACTGAAGCAGCAGTCAGTGCAAAGTGTGAGGAAATCATAACCACACAGAAAAAAGAACCATGTTTCACAGATAGACCCAAGGTAAAGACGAAAGCAGGACATGGTAAGAAGAGCAAGGACAGCAGTGACACTAAAAGAGACATTAAAAGGACTAAACACACCTCACTCGTCAAGCAGAAGGCTGACTCAGAGCCAGGGCCTGAAGCCACACTCGTCCACTTTGGTCATTGTCCATCATGTGGTGTGCGCTATCCCAGCCCCTGCTCCTGCCCCACCAAAGGTCCTGCTCAGCCTGACCAGCTGTCTTCTGCCCCACCGGTCAAAATCAGTAGCAAACCCAAGGCAGAAACCACCTGCCAGAGGGACACCAAAATGTCTCACAAAACAACCCACAAGCACTTACAGAAGCCTGAGCATACAGCCAAGAGTTCACGGGACCTCCACAGGCCTCCTAGATCCCTGATGGTGAAAATAGATCTAAGTCTGCTCTCAAGAGTCCCGCAGACTTCCAGCATTCACCAAGGGATACCCAGCACTTCAGAGAGCTCACATGGAGGAGGCAGTGATGCTTCTACGTCACACAAACACACCAAAACCCGCAAAAAGAGTATACCTCAAAATGTGAGAAATACAGAGCTTGTTCTACTTACCATACGTGTACATAAGGAATGTCCTGTTTATGTAATGTGTGATTTGTTTTCTTTTTCTAGATTGAGGTAGACAATAAAACTCTTCCCAGGAAGAAGCAGAAGCTGGAAAACAAGAATACCTCATCAACTCATGTTTCTATGAAACTGGAGTAGGTCCCCTAAATCACAGGCATATTGTTTGTACTGGGCATTATATTTTTTTATTCTCCAAATTAGATGTCCATTTTACACAAGCTCTTTGATCTCATCTCCTCCAGAAATTCCAGCAATCCAGCAGAGGCTCAGGAGCAAAAGAAGGCCAAGAAAAATCCTGTACATTTTCAGCACCCTCCTGCACCATCCAAAGATGCTGCTAAAGAGTTAAAGTTAGACAAAGGCTGTTCAGGGAAGACGCAGGAGTCCAGTAGGGAGGCTGCAAAGAGCAAGGACTTCCGGAAGCACAAGAAGAGCAGTGGAAAACACACAGAGCACCCACGCCATGAAAAGGTACCTGTCAAAACATAAGCGCCTCACATATGAAATAAGTTATTGCTTTTTTATCCTGGACAAGCTTCTGCAAGTTTGTATACCTTGAAGGATTGGAACTAATGATAAAGGCTTATAAATTCTTACAGTGCAATAATTATTTAGTAAGCAGAAGCGGTCACATTGTAACAAAAGATCTTCCCTTCATATCCAGCAAAAGCCCCCAAAGAGCAGCCTTGCTGTCCCGTCACCTTCACGGCCCATCAGGGCAGCTTTGACCAGCAGGCCGATGCTCAGATTCGAGGAGAGGTAAGATTTCTCTCTAAGAAGCTGAAAGTTAAATTTTGTCATCTCACCATAAAGCGTGCCTCTCTTTGGATTTTTAGAATTTCATATTTCCATACTGTGTCTATTTGTCCACAGGAGGAAAAAAATCCACAGTGCAGAGACAGTTGTGAAATCTTAACCACATATTTAACAAGGCAGTGTTGGTTTTATCAGTGTACCAAAGCCTTTGACAATGATGTTTGTTGTTGGTTGGGGCCACCTACATAATGGGAACTCTCAGCATGTTAGGACAGCTTTTCTCCTGGTCTTAAGGCGTAAATTAATATCAGGCAGAAAAGCAGTGTTGTGCTGCCCACTCTGAGGAAAATTTCAGGCCTGTTTCACATGTGACTACACCTCATCATGCTCTGTTGAACCTGTAACTACACACAGTGTTTCTAGAGTTCACCTGCACTTCACTACAGCTTAGTAAAAAGTTTAACCACTGGATTCTCTGAGGGCATTAAGTTACTCTTTAAAAGCTACAGCTAGCATCTGAAAAATAAGTTTTGACGCTTCTGTGAGAAGCTATGACCAAAGTATGTCATAGTTATATCTTGTCATAGTTATATGAACATTTGATTGGATACGTTTTTGCATATGCGGCTGAGTTCACAATGACTAACAAATGGTAATTAATATGCACAGACAGTCCCACTCACTGAAAGCCTGCCACTTTTGTTGCATATTTCACGCAACACTCTCCTCCCCTTTTGTTATCTACATGTCAATGTTTTGAAAATTCCCTTCACTCTGAGAAACAACAGCCTCCGAGTGAGCAGCATCCTACGAGCTGAAAATGGCGATTTGTTTATGCTATTGTCTCACCAAAATATTTCTGTCTACTGTTTTGCATTACTATTTTGCATTGACATCACTGCTACATCCTAGATGATTGCAATTGGTGTAAATTGGTGAAACACAAACAAGTCGGAGAGTTTTTTTCACCCCCTATATCGGAGTGATAATGAGCTTCAGCCAGATCATTCTCTAGCATTAAAACAGCGCTGTGGAGTTAGGTCTGGCTATGTGACACAATACAAAAGAAGAAACGTGAACACAATTTTCCCTGTTTGACTTAAAATATGTGTTTCCCAATACACATCCTGCAACGTGATCATTATCACCCGTTGGATTTCCTCTTAGTATGGTCCATTTTAGTGGGAAAATGACAAATCTGGTGAGTTAATGGACTTTCATGTGGGTGGGTGATGAAGAAAGCAGTGAGCTGGTGTGTCATGTGTGGGATGGAAGAAGTGGCTAAGAGTTTCCAATCATTTAGTTGTCAGTTTCTTGTAAAGGCTCATTGTAGTCACACACTGTCGTGTTCTTTTCACCCTTTTTAGTAAATGTCGTTTGTTGTTTAATGTTAAGTTTATTTATTGTCTTCAGGAGTGGCGACTTTCTTGAAACTAATTTAAGCCTCCACTTGAGTCAAAGGATATCACAGCCTCCAAAACGTGGCTGGTTTGAACAATCCTGTCCTTTTAGTGTTTGAGAGTAATTTATGATGAAGGAAATGAACTTCAGGAGAAAAAATAAACGCAGATATTTTCTGCATCTTTTTATAGTCTTGTGATTTCTTAATCAGATATTGTTGTTCCTCCTCTTTCACACACAGGCAGCATCCAGTGAAGCATTACATAAAAGAGGCCAAAAGACTGAAGCACAAAGCAGATGCAGAGGTAGGATTTCAGATGAGTTTGCACTTATATAAGAACAATTACTGCAGTCTGCACAGCAAAACAAATAACCAGTAACTGAACTGCATTTGTTGGTTGTATTTTTCTCTCTATAGTCTGATAAGCTCAGTAAAGCTTTCAACTACCTGGATGCAGCCATGTTCTTTGTTGAGAGTGGGATTGCCATGGAAAAAGATCCACAGATTTCAATGTCTTCCTACACGATGTTTGCAGAGACTGTGGAGCTCCTTAAGTAAGAACCCACTATTGTCATAGATTGTCTACACTGTTAAAATATAATAGTTAGTAATTAATAACTGTAGTCATTTTGTGGTTGTGAAAAGCTGGTGGAGAACCTGCCTGGCTTTGCAGTTCAAGTCATCAAGATGTTTTTTTAATTATTATTTTTATGGCAAGGTTAAAGCTTAACATTCGGGTTCTATAACTGAGTTTGATTCATGCCTTATTTCAGCTGCTGCACTTTCCTCTCTCACAGGTTTGTACTGAAACTTAAAAACTCAGTGGATCCCTCTGCTCCACCCTCAGAAAAGGACTTTTTATCTTTATGGTAAGGTGCCTTCTGTGCTGTCATTACACAAACTAAAATGTCTGGTGAGATACTTCTAACAGATTAATTTAAATTTAGATCTTTGCTTATTTTCACTGCTGTACCTCAAACAGATTTAACTCCATGGTGATTCTGGAGGCTTTTGTACATGTTGGTGCTGCATTATATTGAAACAATTAGAGACAGTGAAATATACAAGTCAGTAGGTAATTGTGCAGCACTTTAGGTAGTTAAATATGTAGAATAGGGGATTTAATTTCATGTCCGGTGTTGATTCTGTACATCACACTGATTTATAACATAATGAGCTTTATTACTAAAATCTGTTAGCAGAAACAGTTCTGTCATTTTTTTTAATCATTACTTTACGTCATATCTTAAACAGTGGAAGAGGAGAGTATATGTGACTTTATTTTAGCTTGAAATTGCTTGTCTGTTGTACTTGTTTTTTACAGATATCCAATGTTTTCCAACTCATTTTGACCGAGAGATGTTGCCAATATATGCGTTTTTTTTAACCTAATATCAGAGAACATAAACTCTTTCGTCTTTATTTTTGAACACATTAATATGCCGGCTCTTCTGTAGGTATTGGCACCGAAACCGTAATAAATGACCTCTGGGGCTAAATTATTCAAGATTAGAGGATTAGTAAGCTACAGCATTATTGGTTCTGGTATCCATACTGAAGAAGTTAATAAAACTGATTTCCGTTTTATTATTGCTACATAAATGTGTGCACATTTTAGCTCACCAGCTCCTAATTCGTCTGTGTTTCATTTCTACTAAAACAGAATTGAGCTGAGCGTGTTTGCAAAGGGTGGAGGCAGCTCTCTCTCTCTCTCTCTCTCGTATCCTGCAGCACACAGCTCTCCGTGACACTGCTGTAGAGAATTCATTGTTTAAGTGTGGTTACACTTCGCTAGAGTGCTGACAATGCTTGTTGCCACAAGTACAACAAGTATTTTGCATGTAAGAGCTGAAACACGATCAGTGTATGGAAACATCCAGTCAGTGTTTATCACATGCAGCCAGAGAAATGCCCAGTTTGTGACTGCTTTGGTTATATTTTCATCTCTGTATGCCACAGCTATGTTATGTATGCTGGCAGACTAGCGCCCTCACGTGGAGTTAACTAAATTACACAAACATGGGTGGTGATGAAAAGGAGCCATTAGCCGGATGATTGTCTGTCTGTGGATGTGTTTATACATTTAGTCCAAAATGATCAGAGCATCATCTGATAGTCATCGTTTATGTTTCAGAACAGTTTTAGGTTTAGCGGTTTGGGGGCTGAAGGCAAACTGTGTCTTGCTTTATTTTCACCTTGCTTCATTTATTAGATGTTGATGTTGGCACTGGGAGAAGAAGCCTCTATTTTCTTAAGTAAAACAATGAATACTACTCAGGAGAATAATGTCAAAAAGTCCTGCATTCATTTTCTTATTTAAAATGAAGAGCAAAAGAGGATTTTTACCAGAGACCAAATCATGCAAATGCTTTTGTTCTTAATTTGTTTGATTATATTTTCTAATATTTAATTAGATTAGTACAGCAGTCCAGCTATCAAGCAGCAAAACAAGATGGCTCTGATGATCGCGTCGGCTATCACCCCTGCAAAAAGGGACACAGCAGATTTCCGAAGGGCTATTCAACGTTTGGTTTATGTCAACCTGTGTGCATCGTTCAGTCGTGTCAGTGCATCTATTTCAGTTTGACAATCTGCTGTGTACATCAGAAATGAAAATGCATGAAGTAATAAATCTAGAAATGTTCGATGCTAAAATCTGTGAAGCTGTACTTGGGCCCAGCAATGGCTTGAGCTAAATGCTAACATGCTCTAATATTTCTAAAAAAATTGTCGAGAGTACAGTTAAAGTACCAGATTATTAAGCAGTAAGTATTGTTAATCAATAAGAGCAGTGGTACTGTTAAAATCTGAGAACAACACTCCTAAGTGTTACTCCACTCAATGATTTTCTGCAACATTTTCATACAAACTTCATCCTACTTTAACAGACTTAACCGATGTTCTCCCTCCCACAATCCTGACAGCAGTTACAATGAACTTATTTTGAGTTGCAAAACAAGAAAATACATGTAATCTCTGTCCATGTGTGCAACCTCACGGCTATGAGCATTAGTCGGCGTCGTCTTAATCTGCCTGTCAGTATCTATTTTTGGCTGATTCCGATATTTCACTTTAAAATCTTTTTGTCTTTAAAGTTGCTCGTTAAACTATTTTGACACATTTGAATGTTTAATTACAGGCAAAGTAGCTTCACAGACAAAATCTACTGAAGAAGATTTTTTTGTTTTCTCTAACGAATCGTGTGATTTCTGAGTAACCTTGAATTGTGTCTTGTAGTTTGAAGTGCCAGTCTCTGCTGCAGATGGCCATGTTTCGCCACAAACACAAAACTGCACTAAAGTATTCAAGGACCCTCACTGATCACTTTAATGTAAGTACTCAAGGGATCTATTTATTTCTAGCAGCCAGTTTTGTGATTATTTGGGTAATATCTAAGTCACATAAAATGTTAATTAAGTTGGCTATACTGTGGTGGAACAAGCTTTTAAATATTGATATATATTTTATTATATGCTATATTTATACTTTCAGAACTCTGCTCAGGCAACAAACAATCCTCCTGGCTGTACATCGAAGTAAGTCATCTGCTGTCCATGTTACTTTTACTGTTCGGGCATATTGCCCTTAACTGTCACAGGCACAGCACATACTCAGTCTTCTTCTGATAGGGTCACAGATAACCCGTCCCCCAGCATGCCGTCTCCAGCCAACACATCCACCAGCTCAGGTCCCGGCTCCAACCACAGTGGCAGCAGCTCGGTTGTGGGCTCTGTTGGCACCACCGTGGCAGTCCCTCAGGCCATCGAACAAGTGGCCTTCAGCTACGTCAACATCACTACGTTATTCTTGAGCGCTCATGACATCTGGGAGCAGGCCGAGGAGCTGGCACACAAAGGCAGCGGTAAGAACAGTGGAAAAGATTATTACTCAAATTTAAAGCCAAATTTAAACCTTGTCTAAACGAACAAAGGCAGAAACCGGCATGAAGCAGCATTCAAAATGTAAAAGATAAAGTGGCGTAGCAAATTCTGAAAGCCATAAGATAAACTAATCCATAAGGGAGGTTTCAAGAATGAATGTTTCATGTGTTGAGGAGATAAAGGCAGGTTGACCTTCTCTAAATGTCTCAGTGTAACCAAACATCACCTCAGTCACCTGAGCATCAAAACACAGCTGAGATCAGACGGCTTTTTTCCTGCTTTTTTTTCATTTGTTGTTGTTACGATACAAAATAAAAGAAATACAACCCTTCTCACGCTGCCCACTCATGCAAATAGTAACTATAGTAAAATGGGACATGTAGAAAAGGCGTTCATTCTATGTTCATAATGACACTAATCTGAATTATTTTTATTATAATAATAACAAACCAAAAAGTCTTTTTTGGAAAAAAACAAAAAAACATTCAAGTTGTCTCTCGTCTTTATTAAGTGTTTGTATTTAGAGCTAAAGTCATTTAGATAAAATAAACCCCCTGATGAAATGACATCCAAACGACCACATGAGCCTGACAACTAAAACCTTTTGGTGGGTGGATCCCAAATATTACAATATACAGAGATGGAACATCTTAACTTTTATCTTGATTTTGTATTAGTCCAGTAAACGTGTATATAATCCAACAGTGTGGGGTCTTAACTTTAATATTTACATTTCTCAGGTAGATGCAGCATGTTATTGTGGTTATTTCTCTATCGGAAAGCACTTTGGCTCAACGTCTTTTGTTTTATAAAGTGCTATATACATAATGGAGACTTGACTTGGATAGTAGGGAAATACCCATAGTGTGAAGTAGTGTGACTGTGGCTTGTTTACATTGATCACACAATGGGCGTGGACTTCATATCACATTTTTTAGATAAGGTACGGGGACTAAGAAAGAGACTGTAGAGTGTGGAACACATCAGTGGTAATCTGATCGAGTTTCATCAATCACAGTAGTTTACGCTTGTTTTACTAACCCTCTGCCTACTATTTTTTCAATTTGGAAAATGGTGGTTTGGCCTGGTGCTTCTCATGGCTGTAGGAGCACCACCAGACTGCACTCTTTTCCTTCAGACACTCATTCTAGCCTCCTTCGGTACATTACTATGCAGAGACTGCCCTGTCCTCTCTGTAGCCTGCATTAACTTAGCTTAAGGCATTACTGGAGCTAATGGATGTAAGGAGAGGAAAAGTCCTTCTGCTTAAAGGAGCCCTCTGTGGCAAAGGTGTGGCAGATGAGATTGGACTGACCTATGCAGTGCTTCAGTGTTTACGTATGTTTGAAAACCATTGCTATTTTATGGTAGTTATTGTCCATCCATCCATCCATCCATCCATCCATCCATCCATCCATCCATCCATCCATCCATCCATCCATCCATCCATCCATCCATCCATCCATCCAGAAAAATCCTGAGTGTCCTAACTGATCTTCTATCTGTGAGGTGACGGTGCTAACTATGAACACATGGTGTGTCATAATATTTCTGTGTGTGTTTCAGGTATGCTGGCAGAGCTGGACACCGTTGTAGGTCCACTGAGCCTGACTTCAAGTATGAGCTCTATGGTCCGCTACACAAGACAAGGTGTCCACTGGCTGAGGCTGGACAGCCAAAAAGTATGATACTGGACTCATGGAAACCCATCAGGCTGCCTTTACTTCACTTTGATGTGTTCAACCCTGATCCAGACCTGAACTGTTCCTCGCACTTGTTTTCGTTTCCTGTATTTCACGTGGACATGAAATCATTTCATCAACAAACGATCTGGACGTCATCTCACGTTTGCTCTTAACTTTGAAGTTCCCAGCAGGGAGACGACACAGAACGATGCACTGGTTATTGATTCTCCCTGACACTAAATCATGGACATAGGTGTTAATCCACACTTTCATGTCTCCCTGTTTCAGGTGAAGTCATGACTCTAAATATTGAAATCAGGGCTTTATTCGAGAGTCATTACATTTGAATGAAGAACATCAAATGCTACCAAAAGTGCAAGTTGGTGGCACTTGGTGGTTCTACCATGTGATCATGTGGTCGTGGTGCAAGTACGGACACAGATCTTATTTATTATTATTATTTTATCACAGCTTTTGTTAATATTGTTACTATTATGACCACTGATTGAGGGGGAAAAAAGGCACTTAAATCATATTTCAACACAGTGTTGGCCAAATGATTTAATTTCACTACATTTTCTGTCTGAATGATTAGTTTGGACTCTGGGATTCTGTTTTTTTTTTTTTACTCTGACTGACTCACATGACAGTTGTGGTGTTCATGTCACACAGGGCTGAAGTAGCTTCTTCTTACAGGTCTCATCTTGACTATGTAGGCAGTACAAGTAAATCAACTATGTTACATTTTTACAGCAAAAAAAAAAAAAAAAAGTGTGTTGCAAAAGGGCCACATGGTAATATTAAATCAGTATTTCATTTATTACTTTGAGAAAATCCCGTATTGGAATCTGTATTTTCAGTTTTTCAAATGAGTGTCCATTTGACAGCTTAAAACGCGCTTCACGTGCAGTAATTACTGAGGAGAAATGACTAACGAGCAGTAATAGTGGTAAGTTGAGATACATTGAATTCACGATACTGAAGAAGAGGCAGAGTAGGAAAGGTTTCACTACTTCAGAGGGAGACATCTGTACACTTCAGACTCTGTGTGTCAGTTCTAACTGTAGCATCAATGATTTCCAAGTGTAACCATTTATTTTTTCATCTCACCGTTCTACAACTCCAAGAGGTTCGTTAGCATCGGTTGTGGAGTTCCTGGCTGTTGCACTGTTGCTAGTAGTAAGGACTAGTTTGTCAGCCCAAAGCAGACTTTATTTTATTCTCGTCATCCTGTTAAAGAGGGTGCCCTCATTCTAATGGAACCTACACATGATAAACACTATTCACATCGACAGACTTTCTGCTCCCTGTATTCATTCCTCTCGTCCATGTTGGCTGTGAAGTGATGGGAACAAAATCCACAGTGGTATTTTTGCGTGACAAAGCATCCCAAAGCTAGCGTGAGGCTTTAGCAGCCGCTATCTAAAAATCACAGCCATACTGGTACAAAAATCCCACTTTGTGTTTTTTCAGACATGCCCCATTTATACTTGGTAGTAAAATACACTTTCTCACAAAGATGGCTGAAATGTGGTCCCATCACAACATGTAAACTACATTGGCTTAATTTAGCAACAAACATGACATATCCCAGGTAAAGGGACGCAACGCACTGTATTGAGCTTCATGTTTTTCTCATTGCCAAATTTTTGAGTACGCTAGTGTTTGTTGAGTTTGCTTCTTTTTTTCTAGAATTTACATTTGCATTAATGCATTGTCCTTTATCTCAGTAAGTTACTCACATACAGATTATGTCTAGACAGATGTCACAGCAGTCACAGCACACAAGAAGGGAGTTTTCAGTCGGATCATGTTAGCTTCAGCTGAACTGTAAAAGCATTTTTCTACAGAAATGAGGACTTTTTTTTACCAAAGGGTTCCCACTGAACAGAAGGACTGATCACACATGTCAAAAAATAGACATTATCTTTTAACCACAGATGTGTCTACAATCAAGTACTTCCAAAATCAAAAACAGGGAAACAGCTCGAAGTCCCAGTCTTTCTTTATACTGGTGGATGTTTGGATTCACATTTGTCATGTTTGTCACTTTGAGTCAAGTTTAGCGGGATTGTCAGTGAACAGAGGTGAAACTACAGGAGTGTTGCCTTTCACATTTTTGCACCAGGAAGCTGAATTCATGTACGTGTTTCCCTACACTTTTGTTGAGAGCAAAATGTTAACTGATTCTAACTGGCCAACCTATAGCTTACTAAAGAATGCAGAGGTTTTTTGAGTATTTTGTAGTAAATTTGAGTGCGTTATTGTACAGAAGACCTTCCAAGACCGGCAGGGCTGTGCTAGTCTTTATTATTGTTTACTGTACGTTTGACTCTGAGCAATAGTGTTTAGTTGGCGCAAAAAAATGTCTAATTCTTATTTATACACGAGGGATACAGTCAGTAGAAAACAGTGATGCTGCAAAATGAACATTGATTTAGACTAGTGCATGTAAAGAGCGCCATTGGTGCCACTGGGCTTTGAAACGTTTTCACTCGTTAATTCAGTTGGTGTGTGTCAGTGTAAATACACGACTAATGAAAGGGCTTAATACGGATCACAAAGTGCTCCCGACTTTATTTTCTCACAAAGGATAAAGTGGTATTTTTTTAGGTAAGGAGCGAGTACACTGGTGCCAAGGCGGGATTTGGGATTGTTTTTATGTACGGACCCTCAGCAGGCTGCTACAGAAACAGCGTCTAGAGTTTCTTACTGAGAATGTCGACGCCACACGTTTAGTGAAACTGCAAAATTTGGCATTCACAAATATTTCAACTTCATCTGTTTTTCATCTGAATTTCTGGGTTCATGTCTTTATCTGTGGCTTTATTTCCTTTATGCTCGATTGTTGCTGCTTCGTTTTTCGAATTACCCTGCAACAAGTTTGTCCAAATCATTATTTACTGGAAAAATGTTAAGAAAGGTTTTTGAAGGATGCTTTTGTTTTCCATTTTGTGAAATATGTAAAAATAATTTGTGTTGCAGTGTACAGATGTGAATAAACACTGGAAAACTAATTTACTGTTGTTTACTCTTATTTTTCACAAAGAAAACAAGAGTTACACTATTTGATTTAAATAGATAGAGCACAGACAGGTTCACAGCGAGACTTTTTTTTTTTTGGTTTTCGTTGCCTCGCTGTAATCTT